ACTTTTTCACGGTCTCCTCTTAGCTCACCCTCTTTAAATTAGGGTGACGATGTATTATATCAGGGATTTATTCATCTGTTTTCTGAAGCAGGAAACACCAATGCCTTGGGAAAGAGAATGGGGATTTCAGTTTGGTTTTATATGCACTGTAAGTCTCAGGAATTCCTTGAAGTTTGGGATATATCTTAGAAATGCCTGTTATATAAACTAAAATGGAAAAAAATTTACCTGAGACAGGAACTTTTAGGGAAGTAGAGTACTTTTATTTTAGGTTAATAATTTAAGTGGTTCTAAGTGTACGTCTCTTGAATGTTCAGTTCAGAATTAATGAGGGGATGTGTTAAGAATGCAAAATCCTGGGCTCTAATCCAGACTTACTGAATCACAGTCAAATTTTAGTCATTTTTATTTCCACAGCTTTTTAACATTTCATGCCAGCTCATATGCATGCTGACACTTGAAGTATTACTTTAGACTCTTGGTGACCATTGGCCATAAGAATGCTTAATCATATTGATGGCATGAACCAGCAAATCAACAAAAATTTTACATAATTTCTTTGCAGAGTTTGGTCTTTTATTTGAAAAGAATGAGTAAATAGCAGCATAGAGTATGATTATCTATATATTATAAATATAATTTAAAAATAAATGCTGAAAAGGGAATTATTCATAACATTTATGGCAGATAAAGATTTAAAATGTTCCTAGTATTCAAAGAAAACTTCTAAGTTAATAAGAAAATGCTAAATGTGTAGTATACAAATTGCCTAATAAAACATGGTTATAGGTAATTTTAAAATGAAGACATGAAAATGGTCAATAAACTTATGAAAAATGTTTAATGATATTAGAAAATAAACATAAGTGCATACTACTTTAAGATTACAAAAATATATTTATATATTATATGTTACTCTTATATTTCATATATGTACACACATACATATGTGAAAAGATAAAATCCTTCCTCTGGCTACCCCAAAATGAACATGTTTATTACTATCTATGTCATTGGAGTATGGGGATTGGAAATTTGTTCATCCTTTTTAGACAGGTAGAGTTCCAGTGCAGATCACAAGTTTTAAAAATAAACATCTAGTGAGTGATGTGAAAACTTTTCACAATATATTCTTATTTTGAAAAGGGTTATAAAACAGCCTATAATATTGTCCCCAATTTGGACAGATAATATTGTACATGCATAGATGTAGGGAATATGTATCGAGGTGCTAGTGGTGGGTAGTTGTGAATGGGTAGAGCTTATTGGTTTTCTTTGGTTTTGATTTTACATTATAGTGCTCTCAAATTTTCTGATAGGAAGTACTACTTTTTTGTAATGATATTTTTAAATTTATTTTTATTAGTTGGAGGCTAATTACTTTACAGTATTGTAGTGGTTTTTGCCATACATTGACATGAGTCAGCCATGAATTTACATGTGTTCCCCATCCTGATCCCCCCTCCCGCCTCCCTCCCCATCCCATCCCTCTGGGTCTTCCCAGTGCACCAGCCCTGAGCACTTGTCTCATGCATCCAACGTGGGCTGGTGATCTGTTTCACCCTTGGTAGTATACTTGTTTCAGTGCTATTCTCTCAGAACATCCTACCCTCGCCTTCTCCCACAGAGTCCAAAAGTCTGTTCTGTACATTAATGCCTTAAAATCTTAAGAAAATATTTTGCAATTCTCAAAAATTTTAGATGAGAAAGGTAGAAATGTGAGAGATATGAACAAGGTGAAAGTTAACAGTGATTAGTATTAACTTCAAATCAAAATTTCCAAGGTTTCAGAATTGAGGCAGTGCTAAGAAGTAAAATAATTAACTTTACCAATATACACGCTCCTTATCTCCTCTTTGGAACTTTTCTTGTGTTTCCATATGCTTTATTCTTTACTCTCCCTAATTTTTTTCCTTATCACATGCTTCTAAATCTTTGTAAGTCTTCAGTGACAACAAATGCATTGCATGTGACACATCTTGTTAAAGACGGTCTATCTTTTTTAAAAATGTTTGCTTAATACCAAGTCTTTCATTTATTTTCCAACAAACATCTATTAAGTGTTTACTCTTGGCTGCGAGAAGTTTTTAATCCAACAAATTAATGTCACCTCTGTGCCAAGCTACGTGGTCTGTGGAGCCATTATTAAAATGGGATAATCTTGTTAAATTGCTTTTTGTAGATGTTATTTTTTGTCAGCCAACTTTCCAAGAATGCACTCATTATTGAAGGCTTAATTATCATGAAATTTTTTTTAAAAAATAGTAATTTTTGACAGAGACATTATGGCTAGAAGAATTTGTTAACTTCCTGATTTAATTCAAAAGCTATCTTGTTCATAGATCTTCATAATTGACACTTCACTGTAGCCAGACTTCTTTATGATATACTTTAATTATTAACATGGGAAAGAATGAGAGAACAAAGAAGGAGAAACGTGTGACATCTTTTCTCAATTGTGTTCTTTTTCTGATTCACATTTTAGAAGTCCAAATATATCCCAGACATGGAGAAAGTATTTTAATTCTGGCAGCCGTTAATCGCTCATTGGCACTTCAACATCAGCTGTTCAGAAGACTGCCAGTAGATTGTTTAAAGTTTTTAGACTTCAAGGAACAGCTGGGCTTTACAACAGCACTCAGTTTCAGAGTCTACATTTCATGTGAAATACATTTTTATGATTTGATATGTTAACTTCCAGCTTGCCAGAAGGCCTTAACTCATTGTGCACTACATTATAAGTGGGATGACCAACAAAATGGATTGGCCAAACCAAGGCAGTTTCACAGTGAGAGGGAATGCTATTAGTAATTACTCTAAGACACCAGATGTGAACTGGGCTATAATTCCTGTTGGCTTTAAGCAAATTCCAACTCAAGTAATTCACATGGTTTAACCTTCTTAACAACATAAGTATACCTGCAAAATCATATTGTTTATCTATAACAAACCTATCTAAAGGTAGTGACTTAAAATAATTACTATTTTATTAATGATCATGATTCCCTGAGATGGCTAGGGAGGGTGGAATGCTTGGGACGTATAGATTCTCATCCTTCTTATAGGTTCTCATTCTTCACACATTGTTCACGCTCTGCAGGTAAAATATGCTCATCTCCACCCTAGGTTTCCAAAAATGTCATCCCAGTAGCAACAGCAGGCCCAAAGTTCAGGATCCCATCATCTAAATCAGGTCTAGATGCAAATGAATATTCTTGTGTTTTGCTCCGTGGTGTGTGACTGGTCTTATCTGTTCCCACATACCAGACATACAGTGGATGGCAGGGACAGAACAAACCACAATAAACACTCCCATCCAGAATGGCAGGAATAAGAATCATGTAATACTAAGTGGTTCATAGAAATTCTGAATTTGCACTGGACGTGTTGCCAGGCCACCTACTTGAGGGACAGGGAATGTTCTTTGAATCGGGCCCAGTTTCATTTCCTCAGAATGTGGTTCTGTAGTTCATTGTTCTTTTGGCTCTGCTTTTGTGCTTTTGGCTTTTGGCTCTGCTGTCTGGGTTCTTGGTTATGTCCTCTCAGATATTCTTCCTTTTTCATAAGAAATAGCTGTGTTGCATCCTGAATAACTTTCTCAGCATGCTTCTTGCCTGTGGATAGTTGAGGGCCCAGTGAAGTATTTTCATTTTGAAGTGTCCCTGTGTCAATTAATCCAAGTAGTGCAGTACCCTTACATTTTTCTTTTTCTTTTTTTTTAGCTTTCTATGTATTAGATTATAGTCTCCTCCGTTAGATAAAGGCCCTACTCACAGTTCTTTTCAAAACAGACCTTCTCCCTATATTGGCTGACATATCAGAGTGCTGTGGACCAGCCCCATTGAACTAGAAAAAAATCTCTTAGGAACCTGTCTCTTAGGTTCCAACTTTAAATCATTCAGAGATTCTCAATAGAGTTGTTACAGTCACGTACTTAATTTGATCTTTGGCTGCTGGCCTTATTCTACTTTAGAAATCTTTTACAGACAAGTTTCGTGCCCTCTATAGTCTGTTCCAATTTTTGTCAGAGATTGAACATTTCCTTCTATAGTTCTTATCCATTTTAGCCTTAGCATACAGCCAATTTACACATTCAGCATTATTCCTGAAAATCTTTTTAGTCAGATTTATAAATTCATTAAGTACATTTTTCTCTTTTCTAGATTACTGAAGGTGATAGTTTTGTACATTGTTTCTTTTTTTATCACACAGATTGCCATTTTTTTCCAGCCTGTAAAAAGTTTGTGTTTGTAATTTCTTTTAGCAATATTTTGTGTTTTCCAGTATATAGGCCATACACATATTTTGTTAAATATGTCCCTATGAATTTCGTGTTCTGGAGTGCTATTGTAAGTGGAGTCATGTATTTTATTTCATTTTCAACTATTCATTGCTAGTATATAGATATACATTTGCTTTATGTAAATTGACCTTATATTCTACATTCATGTTAAATTGACATATTTTTTTCTAGTGGATTTCTTGCATAGATTCTTAAACTGTGTAAAGTTTTATTTAAGACTAAAAAGTTTTTAACATCAGTCACCAATCATATTAAAGATATAATCAAAGTGTTTTAAGGTTTTTCTTTCAAAAACAAAAAGATAGATCTAAGGAATTGCTGTATTTCCATTTACTAAGCTAATATGATACTTCAAAACTTTGTTATTTTTCTGGGTGGTAAACTTTGTCTGTAAAATCTAAATTTAGCACAGCTGAGAGATTGTAATACCTTTTCTTTCCTCAAGAATAAGACCTAAGAATAACAATGAAAGCATAAGAATGCTTTTAATGCTTAGTAATTATATTCCGTGTTCTTATTAACACTGTAGATATATATAATACTAAATAATAACTCTGTAGGTTAATTCTGAATCAGTATAGCTAGATTTTATTTAAATTTCTACTGTTATACATATGAGAAGACTGAGGCTCACTCAGAAAAAGTAATGATTTGCCTTTAGTTATTTCTATATTTATGGTAATTTTTTTAAAAATAGGAGTTACTTAAAGATCCACTGTACATTGGACTACGGCAGAGAAGAGTGAGAGGTTCTGAATATGATGATTTTTTGGATGAATTCATGGAGGCAGTTTCTTTCAAGTACGTATAATCTTTATTTTGTCTGTATTTAAGTTGGATTTCAAAAACTTAAAGATAATCTAACATAAACTATAAAAATGTTCAAGTTTGGTATAATATGTTTAATAATTATAAGTGATTTGAGTGAAATATATGTATATATATATCTCCTCATAAATATTGCTGACCAAATGATAATGTCATATGTCTATCCCCCCAAAACTTGTCTGTGTTGCTATCCCTGAAGATACTTTTTTCTTACAAGAAACTTCAGCGTCTATGGGATTCATAATTATGGTGAATGAGGCAGTGGCCAGTGACTAAATTACCTGAGTAAGCCTTTTCATGATTATTGGCAGTCTGCATTTTGTTTCTGGCTGCTGATAAAATCTGGTCTTCCATCATCTTCCTTGGTGAATCTGACTCTCTTGTGGTAGGAGAGGCAGAGAAGTGAGCATGAATTAGTATGATCCACAGGGTCCGGAATGAAGCAACATCCACGAATCTCTGATTAAGTCTACTGTATTTGATTAAGATGCAATACAATATTTCACTGAATATTTCATCTAATTGTGGACCAAGAGCTGCTATAAAATTTTCTGTTTTTTTCCTTCAAAGTAGAGAGTAGAGACTTCTGCCATAGTTTAGTAACATACTCTGAGAGAATTTTGTCACTCTAACAGTGGTCCCATTTATCTCTGTATAGCCACAGAAACCATGTACTATTTAAAAACATATATGTTGCTTTGGTTTTTCATAGAAATGAACTCATCACTGGCATCAACTGTAACTATAGACATATTTCTGGTTTCTTTTTATTATAAGGTTTAATTTGAAGAAGTTGAATTCAATAGCAGAAAGTGCTCTCATCAGCTTGCAAAATATTTAGAATGTTTTGAATGTCTTCTTACCCAAGGTTTTAATGCAAAGTACATTTACCAGTTAGTATGGACTACTTTTTTAAAACCCATGTCTGATTTATTTCTTATTATTATTTAACTTATTTAATTACATTGTACTTACTCGTAGACATAGTTGAGCAACTCTAAAATTCAAGAGTTCATGGTCCAGTTAATTACTAGAAGTTTTTCATATTTAATTTTAAATTTCTTACCCTTTCAAATTTATATGAGATTTTGCAATTATGTGTAACTTTGTAGGTAGCAATATTAATCAAGAGATTGTATAGAGAATACCGCAAGGTGGCATAAAAGAAAAAGAAATTCTCAGCATATTTGTTTTTACTTGTCTGTTTGTGTAAATAAAATTTATCTTTATATGGGTGACTTCAGTATACTTACCGAGAAACTGTTGAGTCATGAATATAGCATATATGGCCTATATACTTAAATACTGTTGAAATAAAAAAGAAATGTATGGCCTATATACTTATTCTGTTGAAATAAAAGAGAAATAATTCCATAACCAGTGAAAAGCTTTCTGGATGAAAACCTAATTTTGAATGAGCTTTGTCAATCTAGAATCAGAAAAACTGTGTGTGTGTGTGTGTGTTTAATGTTGAATTGAGAAGTTACCTCAGATATATAATACGAAATGGGGATTGACAAGAGTCAACAATAATTTAAAATGCAGAGACCACCTGTAAATCAGGAATTACACTTCTGGGCTCTTCCCAGAGAAAAACCCCACAGACTTTTCAAAGATACTTTCTAGCGTAACACTACTTTCAGAAGAGTTTTCTAGAAACGAAACCTACTACCGCTACCGAATTAAATTGGGACGTAATCCTGAAGATAAAGCCAAAATTATTTAGAAAGGAAATATAGCTTAGGTAGAAAATGCCTGTTAGGAGTTGATTTAGCCAGGAATTGGATTCTAGATGGAGTTATTAAGGAGTGTAGTTGGAATCTACCCTTGTGTAAGGGAGAGAACAGGAAAAGACGTGGATGAAGGAGAAGTTGAACTACAGTGTCCACCTGCCAACAGCCGTTGGGACCACACTTTCATGCTGTCTATTTAGACCCCTAGGGAAAACTAATTTCCATTCCCCACTGCCCAACCAATATTATGTTGGTTTTCTAATTTACCTCTTGTCAGGATTGAGTTGGGGCAGTTGTAATTTCTTTCTTTTGGCTTTCTCCACAATTATATTTCTTAGCTCATGGGCCAAAGACTTGTCATGGGTGTTGCAGCAGTCACCAAGTAGGTATCTGTCCTGGTTCTGTATCTGGGGACTGAGGAAATCACCACCATGTGGGTCTGTGGTCCCAGGGCCCATTACGAGCTAGACCTTGGCCACGGCTCCATTTTTGATTGGGCTCCAAATCCTTTTAACATGGAATGACAGCATATTGATGCTTCAGGTCTCCTGGTATCTCTGTCAGCTCTGTCTGAAGTATTCTGTCGCCCTAGATCACAGTTGCTGGAATAAAGGACTGTAGGTCCCCTTGGGGGAAGGTTGGGGTAATTACTACCTTGTATTCTTGTTATAATGTTACATGGTCCTTCCTTCTGGAGACTAGACTTCTTCAATAGTGAGTTCTGGGTTCAAAAGTTAGCTAAGATTTGGAAACTGAGTCAGTGATTGGGACATTATTGGGGCAACTACTCTCCACTTTGTGGCCATTCATCTTTGATTTATTTTGAATGTACATGTTGAATAGTCACCTTGTTGGGATGCCATATTTTATTAATTATGTCAGTAACTCTCTGTGGGTCAAGCACACCCCGCACACCAGCCTTGCCACTCTCAGGATAACTGTGCCCACCTGGCTTCTGGTGGCTTCTGATCTTCACCTGGTTCTGTTATCCCTATTCCTGTTGATGAGCCTGATTCTCTTACATACCTTCCCTCTGTCACTTCTGGTCTTCAGAAGAGAGCCACAACTCAGAACCTAGTAATGTAGATGTCGTCTCACTGGTACCTTCCTTGCAACTTAGGGTAATGGAGTGTTTTCTGGGCCTTCCTGTGGAATATCTCCATCTGATGGGGTTTTGGCCTTATGCAGCATGTGCACCCCAAAATATTCTCTCTGAACCTGTGTGCCCCTCTTCTGACCCCTGCCGCAGCGTTTCTGGCATTTCATATTTAACATGAGCTATTACTTTATCCTTGGTAATATCCTAGTAGCCAGTTTGCACGTTTCCTGAGATTCTTGCTGGTTTTAAGTCTTGCCTTTCAAGACGGTGCCCTCACATGGATGGTGGTGGTGGTGATGGTTTAGTACCTAAATCGTGTCTGACTCTTGTGACTCGATGGACTATTGCCTGCTGGGCTCCTCTGTCCATGGAGTTCTCCAGACAAGAATACTGGAGTGGGTTGCCATTTCCTTCTCCATGGGATCTTCCCCACCCAGGGATCAAACATGGGTCTCCTGCATTGCAGGCAGGATTCTTTAGCTACTGAGCTACAAGGGAAACCCACCCTCACTTGGATAAACTGTCCCTTGTCTAATCTTAAATTCCAGCCCCTTTGATCAAACAGCTTCAGAATTTAATCTTAACGTGTACTCTTCTTGCTAATGTAAACTTGCTAGATCTTTCAGTTCCTTCCTCAAACAGTGTTTCTTTTTCAGGCCTCATCACCCTATGTGAGTTATATTGTGATATAACCCTAGTTACATAGGCCTGAGCATCTGGAGAGGAGGTGGGGGTGGACAGATGGGGGGTTAGAAAGACAGGTTGTCTTACTGGAGAGAAGCATCTGCCTACATCCTCCCCAAGGAAGAAGGGGCAGGGCCACTTATCTTGGTTCAGAAAGTTCTGGGGAATTTGAGTGTTCAAGATTTTGGGGAGGTATCGAGTAAGACATCTTGTGCCACGTGGCAGGAACCTGGTCTTTTCCAGTCAGGATGTTGATTTAGCACATCTCCTGTGCCTGCAAGTTTGGGAGTTTTTGACTGCTCTGACAATTAATCCCAGCTCCTGTTCATTAGCTTTCTCTTCCCTAAGGACCTGAGAACATTTTCATATCTACCAGAGAGTTCCTCTGGCTTTCAGGTTGGTGGTTACTTGCCTTTTAGCTTTTTTATTTCTTTCAAATTTCCAAATGCATTCTTTTTCTTTTTAAAAATTTTATTGGAGTGTAGTTGATTTATAGTGTTGTATTAGTTTCTGGTATATAGCAAAGTAAATCGGTTATACACATATTGCCCTTTTTTATTTTCTTTGCCCATTGTTCTTGTTATTATTTGTCTGCTGTTTCTCAAATATCATTCCAGCTACACCGTTCCCGTCTGCTGATGTATCAGCCCAACTGTCCCTGGCGAGAGCTTTGACTGTTGGACGGTCACCTTGTGTCAGGGCTTCTCTGTGCTCCCCTGGAGCTAGGGTCCTCATTGCCAGCCACACAACTAGGGATCCAACTTCACAGCCCCGTCTTATCATCCACTTTCTTGGACCACTCCAGGTACCATCGATCACAAATTAGGTTATCTGGGACATATTTAGAAGCAAACTTTGGTCTTCAAGAGGTTTGTAAGAAGTGCCCCAGAGGTCAACTCCCATGGAAGGTGTGCAGAGGGAGAAGAAATGGGCACAGGGACAGAATTGAGCTGGGATGCAGCACAAGACACCTTCCTCTGGTCCCATGGAGAACTCTGGAAACACAGCGGCTTTTCAGAGTTGTCCTCCATTGCCTGAGATGGCCAAGCCTTCCTGTTCCTGCATCAGTTAGTCGTTGGATGTGGGTCGCCCTGAGAAGGAGCATGACCTATGGTTTAGGGCTCCCTGTAGCTGAGACAGTCCCTGGGACAACGGGGAATCTGAGAGCCATGTCACAGTAATGTTTCAGTTCAGTTTAGTTGCTCAGTCATGTCCGACTCTTTACGACCCCATGAATCGCAGCATGCCAGGCCTCCCTGTCCATCACCAACTTCTGGAGTGTACTCAAACTCAAGTGCATCGAGTCGGTGATGCCATCCAGCCATCTCATCCTCTGTCATCCCCTTCTCCTCCTGCCCTCAATCCCTCCCAGTAATGTTTAAAGATAAAAACTGAGCAGAAAAAAGTATTGAGGTTTGTAATAAATAAAGGCACGTGCTAGAGTCTTAGGAGGGACC